GAGCCTCAAGAAGTCCTGGGGCTGAAAGACAGCCGCCACTGGCAGCGTACATGCTCCAGCTTCCAGGAAAAAATGCACACGTCCGAGCGAGGCCGAGCCCCTGGAATTGGGTCGGGCATGTCCCCCTACAGGGGGATTTTGGACGGACAAAAAAAAAAAAATACTCCAAAAATGCTCAAAAGATGCCAAAAAATATTGAAACAATAGTGCCCAGACTGTCATTTTTGACTATTTTTGAACATTCCCCCTGTAGAGGGACAGGCCCGACTGAACCCTGGAACCCTCTCGCCGAGGCGCACACGCTGGGCCTGGAAGCGGCCCCCTTGGGGTCTGCGCTGGGTGGGCCCCGAGAACAGCGGCCAAGAGCCCCCCAGGGCCCCAGGGGTTAGGTCGGGCCTGTCCCCCTACGAGGGGATTTTGGGCGAAAAAAAATATTTAAAAAAATATTCAAAAGGTGCCCAAAAATACGCAAAAAAACAGTCCCCAGGCTAGGTTTTTACTATTTTTGAGTATTCCCCTGTAGAGGGACAGGCCCGACTTAACTAACCCCAGGGTCGAGAGTGGCAGCTCTTCTGCATTCTTGCGCCGCGCCCCGCCGCGGCGACGAGCAGGCCCCGCGCCTCCTCCCCCCCCCCCCCCTCCTGCTTGCCGGAGCCCCTCGGCGGGAGCCGGACGGGCCCAGCGGAAGAGCCAGGAGAGAACGCCCAGAATCGAAGCGACGACTCCGAATCGGCTCGGCGCGGAGATCCGCCGCCGCGTCGGGAAAGGTCACGGAAGGCGGGCATCGGCAGGCCAGCGGGCCTCCGTGGAGACATCGGAAGCCAGACCGCACTCCGAGGGCGACTCGGCTCGGAATCGGAGGCCATCGAGATCGAATCGCGTCGAAGCGAGACAGGGAGTCGCAGGGAGCCCCGGAGGAGCGGCCAAGAGGGTGGGGGCGAGGGCCCGGGGTCGAGGCTGGCGGTCTGTCGAGGCGCGCCCCGCCGTGGCGACGAGCGCGCCCGGTGTCCCTCCCCCCTTCCTCTGCCTGCCGGAGCCCATCGGCGGCGAGCGAGGGGGGGGGGAAGTGAGCAGGCGAAGGCCTTCGCACAGGGCGGCGGGACAGTCTCCGAGGCCCTCGCGCCCCCTGCAGGAATGTCCCGGGAAGACTTCGGCGCAGCCTCGGGGAGGGCCTCGGAGACGGGTCGGAAAGCGGGGGTGCTTCCGAGCCTTCTCAGGAGGCCCCCGCCTTCTCACTTCCACCCCCGGGCTCGCCGCCGAACCAAGGCTGGGCCACCTCGGCCCCCCAGCCGGCTCCGGCGCCGGAAGGCATCCCGAGGCTGCCAAGCCGTCGCCTACCGACGGGAGCGGCTCTGAGGTATGCGCGTTCCTCCTCCCCATCAAGACGCGTTGAAAAAGCCATTACAAAAAATCCGCCGACCTTTCGGCCTGTGGGAAACGCTGTCGTCGTCGTCGTCGTCGTCGCCGTCCAAAAAAACTGGGGAACATTGGAATCCAAGAACATCGTAGTCGACTCGAAGGGAAGCCCCTTCCCTCCGATCCCTCCCCCGCCGAGGGAGGTCCCGCCTTCGGTCGGGCGTTGGCAAAACTGGGTTTAGTGGAACCTGGTTTAATGATGTGTACCGCGGGGCGCCCCCCACGCCCCGTTCCGCCAACCGGAACTGCCGTCACCCGAAAAACACCAGTTACGGCAAACCTGGTTTAGTGAATCTGGCCAGTTGAGGGGCCCCAGGGCCCTACCACTAACCGGGTCCCCTTACCCGGGGTCCTGGCTTCACCCGATTCGGGGTCGGCTGCACCGGCCGCAAGGCCTCCACGATCAGCGCGCCGTCAGCAGCCACCACAAAATCGGCTCGCGCCGCCGCCCCCCGCCGCGGGTGGGCGGCCAAGACCGGCTCGCACCGCGGCCGGGGACTCCGAGGCTGCGCGGAGGGCCCTCGCGCACCGCAGCGGTCGGGGCAGCTCTCGCGAGCGGCGCCCACGCACCGCGCCAGTAGGGGGGCCAAATGCGGGCCCTGACCCTAACCCCCCACGATTTCTGAGGGGGAGGGTGGGGCTCGCTTCGCTCGGGAGCTCCCGAACGATGTGAACCCCACCCTCCCCCCACAACTCGTGGGGGGTAGGGACAGGGTTCGCATGTAGCCCCCGAACCAGGTTTGGACCCCCTTCGGGCTCCGCTCCGGCGCGGCACGGCGCGTGGACCCCTCTGGCTCCGAGGGCCGAAGATCCGTGCCTGCGCGCCGCACCTTTAGACCCCCGACGGCAGGGCTGCTTCACAGCATCGACCCTCAGAGGTCTCGACCCAGTCGGGAGCGGGGGGGGTGCAAATCATGACCAGCGGCATGTGCGCGGCCCAGCGGGGGGAACAGGGACGTAATGAAATAAGAAGAGGCGCCATGAAATCTGAGGAAATATCGTGGCCCACGCCATGATATCCACCCCCCCTAGTCATCACCCCCCTCTTTTCCGCCCCCGACCTATTCCCCTGGACTGGTTTTTCATAGTGAATATCGTTTTTTGACGGCCCCGAGGGCCGGAAAGGGCTTCCTGAGACCGCACCTTAGGAAAAGCCTTCCGCCACGATTTTTCCATGACCCCAGAGGGTCTGGGCACCTGCAAGTGATAACACATCGGATCCTTTCGTGTTCAACAGCAACTCATTTAATCTAATACCTGTTGCATACAAATCAGCGCCACCCCACACCCTGTGTTGGTGTATCATACCCCATATACGGTATCTAGTGTGTGCACCGCACGCTGGGGCTTGGAGGAGAAGGAGGAGGAGGAGGAGGAGGAGGAGGAGGAGGAGGAGGAGTAGGAGGAGGAGGAGGAGGAGGAGGGGGGAGGGGGAGGAGGAGGAGGAGGAGGAGGAGGAGGAGGAGGAGGAGGAGGAGGAGGGAGGAGGAGGGGGGAGGGAGGGGGGAGGGAGGAGGAGGGAGAAGGGAGGAGGTGGCAGTCCGTCCTCGCGAAGCTTGGCTGGGAGTCGGCGCGACCCCTCATTGCGCGGAGCACGGAGCCCCAGGGAGCAGCCGCTGCTGGAGGAAGATGATGCGGTCGACCCGCATGATAACGTGCGTCACTGGCCATCGCTCGGACGTCCATTCCCTGTGTTTTGTTCGGTTTCGTGCGTGGCTTTTTCGCCAATTGATAAAGGATGCTCCTCGATGGTCCTCGACGAAGGAAAAGTGCACACGTCCGAGCGATGCCAAGGTCAAGGATGCAAGGGCCATGGAAGGCCACGTCGACCTTCTGCGAGCGGGGCGCGGCCAGAAGACGGCCCACGAGGCCCCTGCCTCGCTCCGATCCCACCTCCAGGTCACGGGGCATGGCGGACAGAAGTGCCGCCAGGCTGGGAAGAGTACGTGCCTCTGTACTGTGGGCAATTCCCAACTGCAGCATACATGCGCTCCACAGGGTGCTGGAATCGTGAGCAATCCCACTGCTCCCGGCGCGATGCTGCCCCAGCGTCGCGCACAGCGATGCTGACACTGCCTAATGACAACTCAAGGATAGCTCGCGCAGCGCCAGGCTGGCTGCGTCACGGCGCCGAAGTCGGGAGAGGCAGGGTCAACGACTTCAGCCCCGAATGCTCGATGAACAAGAAGCGAGTGGAAGCGACCAACGGGATGGGTACAAAGTAGCAGCCCTCGCCTAACACTGTCCTTCACCCCCCGACGATTTGGACGCCCGAAATGGATACGCAAAAAAATGGGTACAATACCCAGCAACAAATGTTGTCCTAAACCAACAGCGGCCGCTGTTGGGCAGGCGGCCTTCTGTCCCAAATAGACACAGGCTGCGGCGGCGCGGACAGCGAGTCCGATTCAAAATGAAAAGGGACTGCTGTTGGGCACTGTACCCATTCCTTCCGTGCCCACTTCGTTCGTGCCGAGACGAGACTGGAGAGCATGCTCTTTGAACACCGTGCCGGACTCCAGGCCGCACATCGGCCTGACTGGGGGCCCTCTTGGGGCGCTTCGGGGCCGTATTGGAGGCCATCTTGGGCGTCTTGGAGGCCATCTTGGCCGTCTGGAGGCCATTTTGACCCTTTCCGGCCTTCTTGGAGGACGTCTTGGAGGTCTCTTGGGTCGTCTTGGAGGCCATCTTGCGGCCACGACGAGGGCCTGGAGCGGGGCACGCCGAGCCCGCAGCGGAGCAGAGCGGATTGCGACAACGGCAGCTGCAAGCCCGCACCCCGTCCGGAGGCCACGGCGCACCAGTGTGTCCAAGCTGCGTCCACTCGGCGGTGGACAGACCTCCCTGTAGCAAACCTGCCCTTGGTGAAAACGGCCCGGGACCGAAACCGACGGACCCGGACCCGAAAAAAATGGCAGCCGCGACGCCCCCTCGCGAGCCGAGAACGGCCACTTCCTGGATCGACGCGTCGGGGCAGGAGGTCTGTCCCACCCCGAGTAAGGGCCCCCCAGAGGCCAAGCATAGCGAAGCACCTCCCGTCGTGATTCTTCCAAGACTCAGAGGGGGAGGAGGAGGAGGAGGAGGAGGAGGAGGAGGAGGAGGAAGAGGAGGAGGAGGAGGAGAAGGTAGGAGGTCGATCGACCTCCGATCCAGGGGCCACGGCGCGCCGCGGTTCCGAGTGGCGTCCCGCCGTGGCCACGGGGGGCCCAATCCGCCGCTGCCTCGGCTCGCCCTCCTCGGATTCGGGGGGGGCGGGAGAGGATGCTTGGAGACGCGGTCAGTCGTGCGTGTTGCCTCCCCGTGGGTCGAGGGGACCTGACACCATTCGCGCTGGAAAATGCGGAGGCGGCGGTCGCGCCAAAAAAACCAGGCCGTGGCTGGCGTCCTGCCCTGCGCCGAGGCCCCGGGCTCACTTCTTGCCCTGCGCGGGGCACGGCGCTCCCGACAAAACGTGTTCACGCCTCTTGCCACCCAGGCGAGGAAGCATTTCCCCCTCCTTACGCACCCCCTCCCGCCCTCCCCCTTATCGCAGTCAACCCGTATGATATGATAAGGATGCGCGGGAAGTGTGCGAGGGCCTCGGAGGGCAACGTTGGCGTTTTTCGAGCGAGGCTGGCCAGCGAGAGCCGCTCAGGATGGCCCGAAGGGGCAAGGATGCAGGGGTACCCGTGGGAATGCTGCCCATGCTGACTATGCGGGTTGACTGTAAACTCTCCCCCAACACCCATCCTCGTTCTCCCCAATCTCCCCCTCCCCCACCCCCTTTTGTCCCCTTCCCCCGTCTGCCCCCACGTTCCCCTCCGCCCTTTTCTTCCCCGCCCACGCGCCCCTCACCCCCAATCCCCCCCCCCCCGCATCGCCCGCTACTTTCTGCACGGTCGTTCCCTCCCTAAACCCTTCCCCCATCGTCGGGCGCCCACCCCCGTCCGTCGTTCCCCTTTTGACATTCGTCCCCTCCTGTCTTTCACCCCCTCCCCCCCGTCCTGTCACCAACCCTTTCCGCCCATTCCCCACCCTCCCTCCCTTCCCCATCCTCCCTCCTCTTCTCCTCCCCCCCCCTGTGGTTCCCCTCCTGTCACCAACCCTTCCCGCCCCTTCCCCACTCTCCCTCCCTCACCCCATGCTTCCGCACGGCAATACCAATCATGGAAAGGCCCGCCCAGCTTACCCCTGATGGCGCACGGCCCTCCCACTCCCCCCGTCATCACCCCCCCATGTTTCCTTCCTGCCTTCCGTCCCTCCTCCTCCTCCTCCTCCTCCTCCTCGTTTTTTTCTTCTCTTCCTCCTCCTCCTCCTCCTCCTCCTCCTCCTCCTCCCCCCCTCCCCCTCCTCCCCCTCCTCCACCACCACCTCCTCCTCGCATCATCATCATCATCATCATCACCACCACCATCATCATCACCATCCTCATCAGCAGCAGCATCAGCATCGTCATCACCATCACCATCCCCATCAGCGTCACCACCGCCATCACCATCGTCATCATCATCACCAGCATCATCAGCATCACCAGCAATACCACCATTAGCATCAGCATCAGAATCAGCATCATCATTATCATCATCACCGTCGTTAGTATCAGATTTCTGCATCGAAAGATTGCACTTCAATATGAACAGACTGCAAAGCGGCAAGGCGAAGCATTCAAATGTGCACCGCGGGGCCGGTGAAGGCGAAGCACTTAAATTTATACCGCTAAACCGGCCAGCGACTTTTTCCCAATGCAAATATTCGATACACGCCCGAAGTGAAACAGTCCATTGTGATACGAAAGATCCTTCAATCATAGCGGCTCCACCTGCGAGAAAAATGAGGGGCAGGAGGGGGAGGAAGGAGGGGAAGAGGAGAAGACAAAGGGGAAGCGGAATAAAATTTTATCAGCGGGCCCAGCGCGCATCAAACATCTGCACGGCTGATCTGCGCCCCGCTGCACCGGCATTGCACGCGTGCTCAAAGGCGTCACGAACGACCGTTTCGAAAGGGGTTGGACGCTCTGAACACGGCGTAGGTGGCAAGCGCCGCAGGGGTGAGCGCCTCGTCCCCGGCAGAATCAAGGCACAGAAAGCTCTCCAAACTGACGCTACGGAGGCCTAGGAATCGGCACTTCAGATTCGCAACAAACTTGCAGACCGCATAATGTTCGAATGTTCGGTGCTGTCCTGCGCTAGCCGGGAGCACCCAAAGCAGCACTGGCCCACTTGCTGGAAACAGCGCGCGGTGCACCATCCGTTCCAATGCGTCATCCAGCCAGCCGCAACTGCACGCGGCGGCGCCAGCACGCTCAACGTTCGAAACACAATCGGCGCCCGGCGCGCGAGCCGGCCAATCGGACACGGGAGAGTCCACCTGCTCAATTTGCTGCGGAAGCGGGACCCAATCCGTAAAGATTCGGCAGGGTGTGCGCGGATTGCTTCGTAGAGCGCCCGCTGATCGTCACGCGCGCGAGTTCCCGCGGCGCTCGCCCGCCCAATTACCGCCGCGACAACGCAGGCAAAGTTGGAGTCGTTCCAAGCAGACCAACTGGCAGCACGATCTTTGCACGGGCTCCCCCACCTCGCCAGGGCCGAAAAATAATAAATACCCAAAAAATACCCCCAAAAAATGACAACAAATACTTTAAACATAATCCCCAGCCTATTGTTGGACTATGTTTTGACTATTTTTGGTGAATTGATTATTTGTCGTCGAAAATCCCCCTGTAGGGGCACAGGCCCGACATAAGGATAGACCGCTGACGCCCCGATAAAAAAATCCGCGTGCGAACACGCAGCAACAGCAGGCCCAAAAAACGGCAGCCGAACAAACAAACAAACAAAAAAAACAAGCAACAGATGCACGGAGACAAGACCAGCAGCCAAGCAAACAGGAGACAAACAAACAAGCAACCAACCGACCGACCGACCAAGCAACCAAGCAAGCAACCAAGCAAGCGACCAAGCAAACAGACAAACAGACAGACAGACAGACAAAGAGCAAGCAAACGAACAGAAAGCAAACAACAAACTGGACGGGCGGACAAAAACGGCAGCACGGCGGCGGCGGAGACGGAGGCGCGCAGCACCCGGACCGTGCAAGGACGCAGAGGACGGGAGGGCCCCACCAGAGGGGCGGGGAGGCGAGGGGCGGGGAGGCGACGGAGAGAGAAAGAACAGTCCTGGGGCGCAAAGGAACATACCGGCGGTGGACAAACCTCCATTCAATAAACCTTTCTTTAGTGAAAGCGGCCTGGGACCGAAACCGACGGACCTGGACCCGCAAAAATGACGGCCGCGACGGCCTCTCGCGAGCCGAAAACGGCCGATTTGCTAATCGACGTGCCAGGGTAGGAGGTCTGTCCACCCCCGAGCACAAGAACATACTGGTACAGGGCTGAACCGAAACGTTGTTTATCGTTTTGTTGTCGTTTTGTTTTTCGTGTTGCTCCACGTGTTTTCCTGCAGCTCCCTGCCAACACGAAAAACAAAACACAGCCGAAGTCCAGCAAAACAGCGTTTGGGTCGAGCCCTGCACTAGTACGATGCGTCATCCTTGGATGCGTGCGTCCCATATAACCATATTGTAGTAGATCGTTTCCCAAGCGGTATGGCCAGAAAGCACCTGCCACGGAGGGTGTACCAGAAAATTCCTCAGTGCGCGCGTCGCCCCTGGGGGGGCGACACGCACATCGTACATTGTTTTTTTCGGGCGACGCCGAACTCGGGCCTTGAAAGGCCCTCATAGCACCGAAACAGGTCGCGCCTAGCGTGCACCACCAGAACCCTCGCTTCGGGGATCTACTGACCCAGGTCAATCCAGACCCAGGTCACTCAGGCGTTGCAGGATCCTGCAGGATCCTGCAGGATCCTGCACCCAAGCCCGGGTCAATGCACCCTGGCCCTGCAAGATTCTGCAAAATCCGGCGCTCTAACTGACCCCCGTTGCATTGACCCCCGTCTCTCGAGCCCCGATTGCTCCTCCACCCGTGCCCGCCGGGCTGCGTGGCGACAGCCCCCGTGGCCTGCACCCGCCACCAACTATCACCGCGAGGGGATCGGGTTGACCATCCAGGATACGAGCGCACGCGGCGCGGGGCGGGGCGCATGGAGATCTCCCGATGCGCCCGCGTTCTGGCGCTGCTGTTAGCATGTGGGCGCCGTGCTCGCCGCATGCTAGACTTCGGCACGGATGCCCCTGAGGCTACGAGAACCCACTCGACCCGACAACTGATATGGAGACCCCCAGGCCTGTGGAGAAAGTTTGAGTCGGGCTGACGTCGCCCGTCGATGCCCGTAGTTTCGGATCTTCAAAGAACCTAGATCGCGTCTCCCTCCTCCGCCCCGTCCTCACTCCATTTTTGTCCGGCGGGCGCCGACCGATCGAGCGGGCGCCGACGCGCCGTGCCCAGGACAGGCCACCTGCACCGAATTAGTGGGGGAGGGGAGGGCCCCCACGACCCCGGCCAGCACAGGGGAGCGCGCGGCAGCGGGATGGTGTGGGGGCGTTGCCTCCGCGGACGTCATTGGCAACGCTCACCTCAGGCCAGAAGGTGCCACTAACCACTCTGTACACCCTAGCGGAACGGGTGCTCATCCTCCATACATCCTCCCCCTCCCCACTACAACGGTCGCTGGCTCTGCGGGCGGCGGAGGCGGACCCACTGCGCCACCCCGCAGAGCCGCAATCGTGAGGGAACACGGACCGAGCACATGCCTGCGTTGCATCAACCATCTCCTCGGAAAAAAACAAGAAGATACGGATACCGCTACTCCCCAAACACCTCCCAGGGTGCCTTCGGACCAGAAGTCCCACCAGCCCTTTGGGCGTGAGTGGTTTAGCGAGCTCTCTCTGTCCTCAACCCCCCATCTTCCCCTTCGGGGAGGGGTTTACCCCTCCCCCTACCCCCTCCCCCTGGACCTGGAGAGGGAGTTCCGAGTGGTGTCAAGGGGGTCTTATTCGACGCCTGGGAGGGCCAAAAAACGACGACCCTCACGAGGATTCTGGCCCCGAGGGGGGGGGGGGGAGTTTGGTGCCTCAGCTCGTCTTTGAAGCAAAAATCATTGATTTTACTAGGGTTTCGGCCCCATTTTGGGCTTCTGAGGGGGCAGCGCTCATCGTCCTTCATAGCAAAATCATTGATTTTACGAAGGTTTTGGGCTCATTTTGTCCTCCTCAGGGGGCAGCGCTCATTTGCGCTTCTGAGGAGGTCGCAAGAGGCCCCAAGATGGCCCCAAGAGGCCCCCAGGAGGCTCCCAAGAGGCCTCCAAGAGGCCCCCAAGAGGCCCCCAGGAGGCCCCAAGAGGCCCCCAAGAGGCCCCCAAGAGGCCCCCAAGAGGCCCCAAGAGGCCCCCAAGAGGCCCCCAAGAGGCC